CGAAGGAATTCGTTCAGGATGGTGAATTCAGTCGATGTTATTTAAGAGTCGAGGAAATAAATAATAGTTGGGGTTGCAATACATATTAAAAGGCAAAATGAATACCTCATTCGATAAGGTTATATGGGTTGAACTTAGCAAAGAAAGTAGATTACATCAAAAGAAGTGTAAAAAACACAATCGATAAGGAGAATACGTCAGTAGTATAGAAGTATAAGTTATTAGATTGAAATAAAAAGAAAAATTAACATAAAGCCTACGTGGCAATTCTGAGATCTCAAGTCCCAAAGTCGAACAGTACCATCTAAAGCACCCGAGAGAAAGGTATCATCAACTGGAGACATGGAAAGAGAGACAACCCTAAAAATTTCCGTCATTAATATCAAAAGGAATTTTACCTTTTAGTATGACTTTGAAAGTACCGAATGTATTTATTATCATGGAGGGACAGGTAACGGATTGTGTCTAAAAGAACCGAATAAATGAACTTCCAGAGATACCATCTACTTTGGTTGACGCATGGATTGCAGTCGTAGGACTGTGGGTAAATTGAATGAGATTAACTCCATATTTTTTGCTGTTTATTGTTCTTTTCGGACTAGGTTGTAAAGTTGTGTTAGAATTTATCCGAGGGGTATAATGTTACGAACAACCACTTACGTCCCAGAGGTGCAGTCATACATGATCATTTGATCATCATCACTACTTGATATTACAGCCTCGCCATTATCCGTAAAACTTAATGAATTTATACTATCCGTGTTTTCTTTGAAATATTTTACTGGATGGAAGGTCCTAACTTCTGAAATAGTTAGCTTCATTGTAACTGTTTCAGCTTTGAAAAACCGCCGAACTTTAATTCTTTCGAAGACACGGTTAATAATTGTTTAAAAATAAATTTATAAATTATAAATGCAAAATGTCATTTTATCCATGGTTATGAAGTTATTTACTAAAATTAAACTTTAATTTTTCAAGTTGAATGAAAAAGTTTACAGATTTCATGACAAATCAATTTTAATTTAATTAAATTAGGAACCAATTTTTCGATATTACACGTAAATATTTGCTCATCGCTTTTTTCTCAAAAATTCGCAAAGCCACTTTCACTATGTATGTGGGCAACGTGTACCCATACGGGGAAAAAGTCTGTAAACCGGCAGTTGACTTCTGATTTCAAACTAATATGACCCCACTATATATCATATTCTATCCCTTCCATAGTACTGATCTTACCTTACCTTCTTCCCTACCTTTGTGTCTGTCTGTCTGTCCCGTTTACATTTGTGAACCATTCTTCTGTTCCCCCTCTCGACTTTTGTCACTTTGATGTTTCTCCTCCTCTCTGTGAAACCCGAAGTCAGCTAAGGGCTAATGATAACTGTCAAAACACCTGCCGTTTGAAATAAATAATCTATGTTATTGGGAAACAACAAATAGCTGAAAGCGTGTTGAAGCATAAATACTATTTCTATCACACTATAATGTTAAAATATCATCTTCGCAATCTAATTTCTTTATAGTGTTAAGTCGTCGAGGGTTGCTTCAAACCTGCTGGCGCAGATCGATGTGAGGGTGTAAATATGTCTTTTTTTAGTGAAATGCTCGGACGAGTCATTTACTACCATGAATTTTTTCTGCTTCAAAATAAGGATGGTTCAAGAAAAAGTCTGTTTTTACATTTCGTTATTCATTTTTTTACTATTTCCCATAATAATAAAGCTAAATCGTTCCTCGAGAAATGTTCTCATACGAACATCTCTAAAAAGCTATGTAACTATACCAATTTTCTTAATTACATGAATATCACATTGCTGTTCAAAAAGAGCATATTTAGAAATGAATCTTTCAATCATATCTGGCCGTACTACAAAGGTTATGTTAGAACAAGTTTATAAATTATACCTAATTATTCTTGGAAATGGTTGCCAATTTTACATCAAAAAGAAGCTTTGAAAAATCAATTAAAAATAAATTTTAAACATTGTAACTAATTGACAAAAATCAATAACGAAATTGAAAACGGTAAATCAAATATGTTATAATTTTTCTATTGTTACTCAATTTTTTTTTCAGATTTTGTATTTCTCAAGAATATGAAAAACAATCAATACTATTTCTGGAATGTTCGCAATTTTTAAATTCTGCTATATATATGTTATTATGAAGATGACATGCTTGTTTTAACTTACCAAATTGCACGCGACTTTATTCTCCCAGTATTACGCGGATGCTGTAATAATGGCTCCTAGTCTTTCGACACTTTTCGAGGTTGACTGTTTCAAGTTTATTCCTCTTCAACTTCATGATACCACTGTGATTATTGAGGCTCATTCACTTTATAAAGAAATTTTTCGGCAACATAAAGCCTGCGGTTATGGTCTAGATTTTCTTTGCGTGGCAACTACTTTTAGGAATATTATTGATCTGTTTAAGTGTTGTAATATTGAACCGATATTTTTATTTCAAGGCATGAAAAATTTTTCTGTAAGATCCCTTTAAACAATTGACTGTTTTAGCTTACTACTTGGATTAAGAGGTTGAAGAATTTATCAAAAACTTTACCGAGACCTCTTTTACCTACCTCACGTTTTCGTCCTGACGTATTCGAATGCAAGTCCAAAAGCTGCAATATTGATGAGAATTCACTTCTTAGCATTTTGGATGAATTAGGCGTAAAATATTCATTTACTGACGGGGATTGCGTGAGTGTCGCCTCAGCACTTTCTCTCCAACTCGACTGTCCAATTATTTCAAGTGATCCTTTGTTCTACATTATGTCTTGCTCATTGTCCAATGATATTTTCGGCAGAATGAAATTTTGTCCAATCTCAGGTGTTCAGTTCTCACGTTTTCATCTTGATAAAGAAGGCTCATACTTTGTGGAGTGTCATCTGTTCAATCCTTATGAGTCAGCATTTTTGATCTTACCTCCTCTATCTTGTCGCGTTTTCTCGGTTCTTTGGGGTGCTTCATCAATTATACAACTAGACCTCCCTCAAAATGTTGTTGATATGCGAAATTTGAATAGAAAGAATGCTGTCAAAGCTTCGAAGAGGATTATCTCCTGGCTCGCGGAAGTTGGTCCAGTAAACGCAATAGAATCTGCCTTGGATCTCATTGAAGATAAAGAGTTAAAAAATTTCATCTCTGAATGCATGCCATCTTCGATAGATAGAACTAAGTTTGATGTTGATGGGGCTTCACTTATTATCAAAGATCATGGTTTAAATCCAATTGTTGACCTAGATGGACAAGGTGTTAAAATGTCTAACAATCCTTCTTCATCACTTCGATCTCCTGAAATTACTCTTTCTCACTGGCCATCCCGTATGCTCTTAGCATATAGACGTGGTTTCATTTGCCCATTTATATTATCAGGAATTTATTATGATACTGCAAAAATTTTCACCAATAATGTGGACTTTACCGCAGGTCTTTCTTCCAGTTTCATCAAGGCCCTCCAGGCCAGATTTCTACATTACTGTCTTATATACTCGTTTGAACGCTCTATTGGCTTTAGTCGCGTTCAAACTAAAGTTATTGAAATTCATCCAATCAATTCCGATACTCTAGAGATTATTTCTCTTCCTCTTCAAAGTCTTCAGTTGTCAACAATTGAACTTAATCGGGAATTCATTTATCGTAGCTTCTCCTTTTCACCCAATAGGGATTTGGCGGATTGGTTGAATATATTTGCTCTCTCCTTATTAATATGGCTTAAGCAGTCCTCGAACCAATGTTCTCCGGATGAATCACCTATTATACTGTCAGTTGCTCTTTGTGCTCTTGCTCATTCATTCAATTCCAATGGACGTCCAAAAGATATTTTAATACAATATCAAAATGTAACTGATAAAGCTCGAATTCTATACGAATCACGTGATCAGAATGAAAACGACTTAACCAAATGTCAACAAGCTATGGAAAGCGTGCACGCCCTGACAGAAATTCAAAATATCTACATGGAATTAATTTCGGTTGGAAAGATGTTAGCAGCCTTAAATTTCTACAAAAAATCTGCCGATTCACTTGAAAATAACGATAGAGAATTTTTACCTTGCTTTAAGGTATTTCCTTCTAATCAAGTCTTTTATTGGTTAACGAAGTGTCTTTCTGTTCTTCCACTGAAACAAAGACGTCCTACCGCTATTCGAACATGGTTTCCTCAGCTAATTGTACAATCTGAATCCAAGAATATATCATCGTTTATTACAGCACTGACTGATCTTAATATGTTACTAGATCATTTGTTGGGGGCTGAAATAACACTGATAAAAACGGGTCAGGCGAAAGCTGAGGTTCCTACTAAAAAGGTCTCTGAAATGACGAAGAATTGCGTTAAAGTTCGTCAAATCCTTGAAAGTTTCTTACCAAGTGAGACGTCTAAAATACCAGAGAGTAAGCTATATGGGTCTAAGTCTTCAACGAAAAAGAAAGAAAAGGAGCAAGCAACAGGATGGATTAGGAGAAAGATGAATCATGGGAATTCGAAGTACAGTAGTTCGTCATGCCCTGAACGACTCTCTACGAAAAATTGTTCTACGCTAAAAAGGCCTAGTAAGACGAATTATGCCGCTACCCTGAAAAAACGTGTTGGAATTGAGTGATCAAGTATTCTAGAAACGAGATTGCGCTATACTTTTATCCGTTGTTACTTCTTGCAATTGCTTACGAAATATAAACTCTTGAATCTTGTTCAGATTCTTGATTTGTAGTCGATCAGTTGAGTCATCTCGTTGCCAGTGTGTACATATATGGAGGTTTTGGAATGAAATAGTTCATTCGTTTGTGTCTGTCTGCCTCTTTTACATCTGTGTTTCATTCTTCTATCCCCTCACTCGACTTTTCCCCCTTTTGATGTTCCTCCACTCTGTGATGCCCGAAGTGAGCTAAAGGGCTAATGGCAGCTATTATAAAGCCTGCCATTTGAAATAAATAATAGGAAACGAACTAGAGGTAAACATGAATTTTTGTAGTCCTTTCAAACCGAAGCACGTTTGAAACAGTCACTGAATAAATGAAAACTTAAGTAAGCCACACATTGGTTTAAATAAAATGTTGACATGCTTTTGATAGGTTTCCTAATTAGCAATTTGTGAAGAAACAGTGCAGCTTTTAGTTTTGCATTTATGACCGAGACACAAGAAATATTCCAATTATTTTTTTTTCGGCTAAATTACTAATATTTCATTTTGGCGTGTCATGCCATGCCTGAAGAAGTCCCATGAATTTGGACTAATCGTGAAGCGTTGAGCTTTTTAATGGATTATATCGCCAAAGACATAATGATGTGCCATTGTTATGTTGGTTCACTAAATGGAGATCTTGTGATTGACCAAATAATTTTGCTTGTAATCCATTCCTATAAGACTACTATTGGTATCTATTGAGCGACGTGGAATATTGAGTTTTCATTAAAATTTTTAAGAAGTTGATGCTGAAGTGTCTTCGGGTTATCTCGGGGTTTCTTCAGTATATACTGAGTAAACAAGGATCTTTCGATCCATGACATATGATTTATTTTTAACTGATATTTAATCCCGAACAGCATCTGTAGACTCTGTAATGAATATGTTTTGCCAAAGAATATTAAGTCATATTTGTAGCTTAATAAGTGCGATATTACTGAATTCAATATGTAGTTACCCATTTAGATGGAGTTCAAACCGCGTTTTCAATATTTCGTTTGTTATATTAAACATTTGTCAATCTTCTTTTCATTAAAGTAGAACACTCGATTCAATAGATATCAATAGTATTTGGGAAACGATGGCAAAGTAAGTCTGGAGGGAAGACTTAAAGACTTCGAAGTCCCAGTCTAAACTAATAAACTAACTACTTTCAAATGTTTTAGTAGACTGTCAGATTCAAAGTTACGACAAAGTTACCAAAGGTGGCTTCAATGATAAGTATAATTGAAATGCCCGCAACCATTATCGATGAAACAAGAAGATAGTGAGGGGAAATATTGTTGTCAGAGGCGGGATTGCCTTTGGAAATTGAAGTGAGATCAAGTTTGCTATCATCGACAAAATTAGAGAAGGGAAGAAGCATTCCATTAGTGGCGATAAGATTTTCCCGGAAAAATACTGAAAAGTGTAGAAGATTAAAGATCAAAATAAAGGTAGCGTCGTAAATATTGAAAAATCTTAATAGTAAGTGAGTTTATGGGATAAAAGAGAATTCCATTGAGTCCGGATTCACAATCACTGACTATGTTAGAGAAAATAGAAGTTGTCGCGATTCCTTTCAATAAATATGCTTAAATAACCGTCAAAATTCAGTGAAACTATGTTCGGAATCATTTACGAATTGAAAAAATTCGCAGTAGTGATAGAGAAAATAAAAATCGAGCAATAAACTTTGCAATCAAATCAGATTCTACTGAAACGAAACGCCTCTAGAGTGAAATGGCATTGAAAAGAGTTGGAATTGGTAAGAAATCTGGAGATGGGCAACTACAAAAGTGGATAGTTGAGGTACTAAAAATTAGAGTTTTTCGGTTACAATTGGAGATAGAAACTCTGGGCTGAAAATACGTAGAAGATAAGATTGAAATTGATTTACTATATTTCAAAATAAGGGGGCGCAATAGACTTATCTCCAGGTGGTGCACCCTGGACAACGTATCATAATACGACAATAAAGTCTATTACCTGGACAACGTATCTTCGTACGGCAAAAAAGTCTATCATTTTCGCATTTGATTTGACTTCGATTTATTATGATTAGCTTGAAACAAGGCTATAAGAGAAATCGCCCTCGTCAGGGAGAATCACAACGCCTTCAGATCCTCCAGTGGAATACTGGGGAGATGTTACAGGACAAAAAAGGATTCAAATCCAGAAAATCCTACAAACCTATGATTTAGACATATTCACACTTATGGAAGCAAACCTTTCGGATGACAAACCGAAATACTACCAATTCCCAGGTTACACCCTGTACCTTCTACCTAAATAAATTCTCAGGTTACACCCTGTACCTTCTACCTAAATACCGGGGCAAACATTTCGGATGACAAACTGAAGTACTACCAATTCATATCATTTCGGATGACAAACTGAAGTATTACCAATTCCCAGGTTACCCCCTCTACAATCTACCTAAATACCGGCAAGTTGCAAGTGGAATTCAGACTGGAGTAATAAAGATGGACTCACACACATTACGATCTAATCAAGAGTATGGGCTCGACACAAGACAAATGTGAAATAATCAGATTAAATGTTTGGAAATGTCAAAACCACTTCAAGGTATATGTAGTCTATAAACCACCCAAGAATTTTCCCAACTTTGACTTTCTGAACATCTCACAGAAAATTGTAGTATTAGGAGACTTCAATGCCCATTCCACCAGATGGGGCTACAAGGATACAAACATATCTGGAAAGGAAATTGAAGATATGATAAACAGCAACCCTCTGGAACTTATTTACAGTATTAAGGATCCGGCTACATATTTGCACAAGAGTGGAACCAGAACAACTCCAGACTTACTCCTGGTTTCAAGCGACATTAGCGGGCATACATGCCGCACATCATATAACGAGAGAAGGTAATTCGAAAATGAGAAGATGAACATGAGGAATAATTAAGTTAGTTGAATGGAGCGAAGACGACAGGGAATAAGGTGCAGTTAGGAAATACGCGAAAGCTGTTACCTCGTCATGCTAGCCCTAATCGATAAATCATCTTGTGCCCGCTTAGACTATCGACTCAGACATACCCATTCAAATAAATGCAAAAAAGACATTACTTTAAAATATAAATTTGGACAAAGCCAAGTCAATCATTAGAACAACGAATGAAAATCTCAAAAACATTTTGAAAGATTCATCCCTTGAAAGAGAGACCTTGAGACTTTACTTTTGAGATCGTTGCTTCGATAATATTTCGGCTTTACAGTCATTGATCTGAATTAATGAACATAAAAATGGGCATTTAATCTGTGTTACACCAAGAAATAAGTCGCAAGAAAGATAACAAGAATCATACCGCTTTTTCTAGTACGGCATCACTGATTACGACCTTGAGAACAAAGGATGGATTCAGTTTAAGAATCATTCCTGTAATTTTACTAGCAAGAGTAGGTTCGCTCTTTACTATTTTTTGGTAAAGTATGTTACCATATGCTTGACGCTCATCCGAAGTTAAATGCTTGTTTTCGACACCACTTTCAGTCCCACCCGCAGAAGACCCCGACGCTTGTCCTCCAGTTACAACATTTTTCCCCACACCAACAGGTAAACCAATGATAGAGGATCCGTGATAAAGAACTGTGCCCACATTATGAGGACTATTCGCTAACGCGAGCATGTTCTGAAGCATATTTGGTTGGGAAAAAGGGGCAGACTGCAAAATGAATACGCATAATTACGTAATAAACCACACTAAATTAAGTCAATAAAGCAGATTAATACAAACCACGGATAAATTTTGAAGTGATCCAGAGCCAGTGGTTCCTAGCATTCGACCGAACATATCAGAAAGTTGAGTTTCACAGTGATGTCCAGCAAATACAGAAGCTGAATTAAGTGTCAAGTTATGGGCATCAGCTTGACAATGGAACCGAGAGTCGACGAGAACACCATGAGAATCTGCTTGCAGATATGCAGAAGCACAAGCGCACTGATCTGGTAAGTACGCCCTCAAAGGTGAGATATCTTCGATTCTAGAACAACCAACTGGGTGACCAGCCATATCGCGATTCCCCCTTATAGGTGGGCTACAAGGTACATTAGGGGTGATGGAAGGCTGAAGTCCATTGACAGGAATTTGTCCATAGAAGCCAGGGGAAGTATGAGGACTTAGGGCAATATTTTGGTCCCACCATGGGTTCTGTTGATGTTCAGCCAAGAGCATGGCTCTTCTTTCTTCCTTGCTTTGAGCAAGGGCAACATATAATTTCTTTCTTCCAATTTTAACACCGTTTAGACTTATGGCCTCTCTAGCTTCATTCGGTGTTGAGAAGCATACGAAACCAAATCCTTTTGACTTGCCATTTTCATTTAACATAACTTTCGCACTAGTAATGTTGCCGAATTTACAGAACATCTTCTTTAAGAGAGCATCATCAACTGAGTCGTGAAGATTTTTGATGTAAAGATTTGTTCCTTGGGTATATCGTTGGAGCAAAAATTTCCGTCTTTCTTCCTTTGTCTGTGCTTTACCTACATAGAGTTTTTTACCATCGATATCTCTGCCATTCAAAGCATCAACTGCCTTTTTAGCACTGTTGGTATCTTTGAAAGAGACGAAACCGAAGCCCTTTGAGTTACCGTTTTCATCTTTCGGTACAAAACAACTAAGAATTTCACCGAATATGCCAAAGATCTCCTTCAAGTATCGGTCGTCCACGTCAGATCTGAAGTTCTTGACATAACAGTTGTTGAACTTATTTTCGCCAGACTTTGAAGGTGTATCATCTTTAATTAGCTCCATATTATTGAATAACTTTTGAAAAATTATAATTTATAATCAAGTTTAATCAGACCAGCTCAGGGCGTAATGAACAAATTTGTGAACAGGTGTAATCATAACTTCATTTCTTAAAATTTAGCTCACTAATATTCAGACATTTTAAAATGAATATTTTGTGTGGAAAGACGGACATACTTTCGCGATGTCAAGAATTAGCTCATATGCAGACAATTTCGGATAGAAACACTGTTCCACCCACGCCATAGAAAAAATGGAAAAATGAGTTACAATGACTTATCTTCATTTTTAAAGAAACCACCGAAATTGAGCATAAGGTCACCTTCATGAGTCAACACCAGTATCGCAGAGACGGAAATCTCTCGGTATTGTTGAATTGAAGGAAACCACGCTTTGCATTTTACCATCATATATGAATAAATATGGAATTGGTGCGTCAAGTCACATCGATTCGATTTGAACAATAAGTACAAAACTTAAAAACAAACTTTGGTGAAATTGATATTATCCTGTAGATAGTCGATTGCATCTAAATTTCATGCACCACTTCCAATGAATGTTAGCCTTGAATAGCAAGATAACCGGTTTGTGTTGACGTGCTTAGCGAAACAACAAGTCATCTTCTAAAGATTTTGTTCCATTCCTGTATGGATAGTTCTTAAAATATCTAAACAGCCCACGTTCGTACACAAATCTTTCAGAACTCCGAGAGAAGACAGTATCGAAAAAAGAAATATTAAGTCCTTAAACCACGTGTTCAACCATAGTATCTGGGAAAGTATTATTGCTATTGGACATCCAGAGCGGATGCCACAGGTTATGTTTATTCAGACTGTACCAATTAATAAACGATAATCGATCGCTTAATGATGTGGCTAGCGGGGTGCGCGATAGACTTAACTCTACGTGGTGCACCATGGACAACGTAAACTCGTGCGGCAAAATAGTTTATAAACTTGGCCTAATACGGAAAGCCATAGAACTGAAGAAAGCATTACAAATCGATGACAAACCAAAAAGCCTCTCTCCCCCCCATGAACCCATTAGTAGACACTGATGTAGTTTATTGCACCCAACTGCTTGACTTCTTCAGGAAATCAAGCACCCTCCAGAGCAAATGCGCTCACTGCCCCTTGGGACAATCAATGTCAACTATCCTGCAGATCAATGGCTCCAAGTCTTCACTGATGGGTCATACATAGAAAACCAAGCAAACGTTGGTGCAGGTGTCTTTTCTGAACTCTTCTCTTTCTACGTAGCAGCGGGACACAATAGATCCGCTTTCGAAGGAGAAATAGAGGCCATTAGGATGGCACTATGCCAATTATGTTGCCTGGATACGAAATTCACCGAAGCGGTGATACTCTCGGACTTACAGTCAGCAATAAACTCAATTGAAAGCAGAGAACCACCCAAAAAAAGCTGAGATAAAGGAATGTAGA